CAATTAGTTTTTTGTTTTTGTATTTTTGTTCGGTTTTCCGTTTCGTGGAAAGTTGTGTCCGCGTGACAGTGACAGCAGTGGGACACGCTTTTTGGAAACTTTTGACCGCGTGACAGCAGTGAGACACCCTTTGTGGAAACTTTTGACCACGTGACAGCAGTGAGCACTGGGACACGGAGAAACCGCGTTGTACCAGGCATTCGGAGCAATATTCTAGGCTTTTTTCTAAGAGCTTAATTAAGTATGGAAGTCCTCATCAACATCATCCTAAAGATCATCATCAACATCATCAAAAAGCAGACACATTTCATCACCAACATCACCGAAAAGCAAAACGCATCTCATCACCAACATCACCAACAAGCAAAACATTTCATCACCAACATCACCAAGAAGCAAAACACATTTCATCACCAACATGACCAAAATCTGTGTAGGTATGTATGTATCTATGTATGTGTATACATACATATACATATATATATATACACACGTATGTATGTATGTATGCATGCATGCATGCATGTATGTATGTATGTATGCATGCATGTATGTGTAGATGTATATGCATATGTATACGTATATGTGTCTGTACACGTGCATGTACATGTACATGTATATGTATATGTATGTAAGTATCTAAGCATGTAGTCTGGAACTTCTGAGAAAAAACTTTTAAAGTAACGACATGGCTTGCAGCGTGGGTTCTCGGAAAGATGGGAGAAACCCTGTGCCATTGCTTACCGGAGAAATGTTGCATTGTACCAAGCATCGCAGTCCGACCTGACGGAAATATACACTCCCCCCCCTCCCCACCCCCCCCCCCAACCCTTCGAAGTCCGAAAACCCTGCGTGCGCCGGCACATCCGAAGGCCGAAAACAGAAAACCTTGTAAAACCGACACGGAAGGCTCCTAAAACATGCTCCAAAATGCGCGTGAAGAGGGCTATGGAAGGTATAATAAGGATAACTGAAATAGTATAGGTAATTATTAATTATTGAGGCCGCTATATTAGGGGTTTGGGATGGGATTTGGGGTTTGGACTTTCGGGACTGCAGACTGTAGGTATTTAGAGGTTTAGGAGCTTGGGTTCAAATCTTCGGGCATGAAGGGCTTTAGGGACTGTAGGCTTCGGGCTTCGGGGGTTTAGGGTTTAGGGTTCATTGCAAAACCCTGGAACTGTGGCATTGTAAGGTTTTTGGCCCCAAAGACGATGCTACAATAGGCTTTCGCTGGGCCTGAATCTTGATGTGTTTAGCTCTTTATGGACGCAGGTTCCGGGTTCAGGGACCGACTTCGCATTTAAGAGAAAGCCTCAATACCCAACCCCCCAAAAACCCGAAACCTTAAACCCCAAAACCCTAAAATCTTGGACTTCTAAGCCGAAGTCCCCAAATTCCGGCGCCAGCTGTGACCTGCCCGGAGAGCCCAATACCCCTTAATTAAGGGCATATACCTTAGGGTATTGGGCTCTCGCACCTGTGCAATGCGGACGACTTGGCTGACCTGTGTATATAGCACGGCGAGGGACGCCTCACGCACGATATTGTCGAGTTAAATCCAAGGGCCTCTTGTTGTCAGTCGCACCAAGAAATCACTGCGGAGCAAGCTCTTGCAAGACTGCGGTCGCGTGAAAGTGGCTATGTTAAGGTCGGAGTGCTTAGTAGCAATATTCCCTAGTAGTCGCTATAGCACTATCTACAAATATATATATATATGCTACCTATATATATATATATACATCACCATACTATAATGCACCCCAAAAATTTTCTTCTAGTTTTGAAGCTTCCTATATTTGTCAGGAGGGTCTGATGATCTGGACATGTTGCACTGTCAAAACTCTCTAGTTCATCTGCTAGACTTAAAGGGGCAAAGGACCTAATAAGTAGTTACTTAGGCTTAAAGCACAGTATTTTTGCAGGTCGTTGGGATTTGGGCTTGGTGTATGCGATGATTAGGCACTCGGAACAACCCTGGACCCTAAACCCCAAATTCCTAAACCACTAAACCCTAGTTTAATTTCACGTTGAACACACCGAAACCCTAAACCATATGTGCTGGACTAAACCCTAAACCCCTAAACCCTAAACCCTAAACCGTCTAAAGGAGCAGCGACAGCATCTGGCCGTGGCCAGTCCGCTGGGACCTCAGACGCGGCCAGTCAGCTCAGGAACGTCACATGATCCTCAGGGTACAAGGGTCCTAAACACAAGGTCCTGCAGGCGTTCCATAAGTGTTCTTGTAAGGATCTTATAAGGGTTGGACATGGTTTTAGAACTTTGAACTATGAATTGGGACCGGGGTTTCGGATGTTCGTTGTTGGTGAATACTTGGGGGCAAGATAAACTTGGGCCCAGGCCTTGAACATATACTTTGTAGCATGTAGTGTATGGTATTTCGCATATACATATATAATAATTGCGTATATATACATATATATATACACATATTTATTTACATATATTTATAGTGTACACCTATTTATGGGTATATAGTATAGGAGCCCGCCCAAAAGCCTATTCTAATTATTACGGCCCCTGTATCAGAGTGTCGAGTTCGGTTGCAGGCTTTCGGGAGTTCCAGGCTTACTATGCGGAGTTTAGCTTGGGTAATGGGGTTTAGGGTATAGCGTTTAGGGTAATAGGGTTCAGGGTTTAGGGTATAGGGTTTAGGGTTTAGGGTATAGGGTCTAGGGTTTAGGGTATAGGGGTTTAGGGTTTAGGGTTTAGGGTAGTAGGGTTCAGGGCTACCCCTGAAAAAAGCTGCCGCGGGCCCATTATTACTACATGGCTAGACTGTCGTTTCATAGCATGTCCGGGCTCCTCAGAAGTTTTCGCATGGGGTTTGATACGGGCTCGGTGAATGCGAGGGAAGCCTTGATAGTTCTCAGTTCCCCAATACCCAACCTTTAAACTTTTAACTTGTTTTCGTGGCTTATTGGGGAAGTAAGTATAGTTTTCATTGTAGCTCCTCTTTTTGTTAATCAATTTTATGGTCAGGATCCTATAATCTGCATTTGCTTCTCCAACAAAGGAACTACATTGGAGACTATGATTAAACCCTAACCCTAACCCCCCCCCCAAAAAAAAAAAACATAGAGACCCTTATAGATCTTTTTCAGGAACCCCCTAAACCCTTATCATTCTTCCTAAACTTGAAGACCCCGATAAGCCCAACAGTAGGGGCTGGAGGTGGGAGGATTGCCACGGTGCAGTTTAGGGTTTAGGGTTTCGGGGTTAGGGGTTTAGGGGTTAGGTGTGTAGGGTTTAGGGGTTAGGGGTTTAGGGTTTTAGGATTTATGGAGGCCTTCAAACCACTCCGTCGCCACGGCGAGGTTGCTCCCCGCCAGGCCTCCATGCAATTTCTTCGCGAGTCGCATGCAGACGTTCTGCGCCTGCGACAAGCTAGCCCTCCAGCCATTGCGAAGCCACAATGCTCTCCAGCGGCGTTAACTGTCTTCCATGCTGTGCACGAAGCTGGCCAGCAGGTCTTGCGAGAGCTTGAAACCCGCAAGCTAACTCCCGCGTGCGAAGCAGCATTCTGCGTGCCGGATCCCTGGCATTATTGCAAAGCCTCTTAAACCCGAACCACCTACATATGAGCTACACCCCCCAATCCCAGAATTCCGAAACTCTCTGAAGAGTCCGCAGAAACACTTTATGAGCCAACAGAAAATGTCCCAACAGTCCTAGCACACGCAAAGATACTTGAATACCCTTAAATTAAAAATTCCTTTAAGCTCCCCTACACTACGCCACAAAGACCCCAACGTAACCCCAAGTCTCGCAGGTTTGCAGACGTTGAAGTTTGTCTGCCAAACTTCCCTCAAACCCTAAACCCCAACTGCCAAGCCATCTAAACCCTAAACCCCTAAGACCCTAAACCCAAAAACCCTAAAACCCTAAACCCCGAAACCTCTAAACCCTAAACCCTATAGACTCCGTTTAAAAAAAAAAGCCCAGGCAAGAGCCGCTCCCGGCCGTCCGAATGGGCCGCTGGCTCTCCGGGCTGCCTGGGGCTCCCAGTACTCCGAGGGCAACTTTGTTTCAGGGATCTTAGAACTGTTTTTCGGGTTTAGGGTTTAGGTTTTGGGGTTTGTTTCAGGGATCTTAAGGCTTTTTTGGGGGTTTGGGGGGTCCGAGGGTGTTTGTTTCAGGGATCTTGGTCGGTTTAGGGTTTAGGGTTTAGGGTTAGGTTTTGGGGAGTCCATTGCGTTTGTACTTAAAGGTTCTCTTTGTTGAGGGTTCTATCCTGTTGTGTTAAGAGCGTTCTAACAGTTAAAGGTGGTTCTTGGTTTTTTGGCGTGGCTTCTGAAGCCGGTTTCAAATTCACGGGCGTTGTCGTTGGGATCAGGGTTTCGGCTTTAGAGTTTAGGGCTTTTAGGCTTTAGGCTTTCGGGTTCAGGGCTTTCGGGTCCAGAGCCCCTGGATAATTTGTCTGTCCTGTAGTCATTTGGTTATCCATCAAAGATTCAGCGCTCGCGGGAGGTTTGGAGCTTGGGGTTTAGGGTTTTACGGTTTTAGGGTTTAGCGTTTAGGGTTTCGGGTTTAGGGCTTACTAGAGTTTAGGGAGTAAAGAGTTTAGGGTTCAGCAAGTAGTTTTATACTAGTAAAAAAATTTACATTCACGGATTAGACATAACACCCACCCACCCTTAGAATCCCGAAGTTTGGTCTGTGTTCGTGGGTTTCTGCCAGTTTGATTAGGCTTGTAGTCTTGTGGAATTGCTACGAGGTCCCAGCATGAAAATAAAGCTTCCTTTGTAAGTTTCCCAAAGAACCCAATACCCCTTAAAATTAGGAAGATTCCGCAAATCATACCATTAAGGCCCCTATAATTAAAGGTATATTCCTTAATTAAGGTGTATTGGGTTCTCTGGGTTTGTTTAAGGTTTGGAATCTCCCCTGGGTGGAGTCAGTTGGCAATCATAAGCCTTAATGCTCAGTGTTGGTGACACTTGTGCATGTGGGCCATCTTGAGCTTCACTCCATTCTTCATGTTCCATGTACAGAACACGGCGTTTGCGCTGGCGCTCACGGGTCTTGCCTTCTGGACTGATATGCTGCGCTTTCGGCTACATCTATACTTTACCTCCTCATAAGGTGTTCGCGGCAACCTCAATTTCCATTAACCCCTAAACCCTAAACGAGTATGGTCGGGCGGCTCGGACGACCACTACGGTGAGCTGGAGTGATGGCCACCTCGGCAGAGCCTTTGTGACAGCGGCTACCGGCTCACTGTGCCTCAGCCAATGAGAACCTGAGTGTATACAAAGGGGTTATGTAAAGGTGATAAACTTGCAAGTTCAGTCTGTGCAGATGCTTGTCATGATTGACATGCGAAGGCCCGAGAACGTGGTGAAAGAAATGAATGAAGAGCTCAAGGGCATGCTGCACATCTGCACACAGCACGAGAGCAACACCCATATGTGGAATGCCAGGACCATGGCCGACTTCCTGCCGTTCCTGGCAGTGGAGCTCAGGACCAGGAGGCTGGCCCTGAAACTCCGGGTGGCTGACTCAAAGGCCCTTATCCTGGCAGACAAGGCCGCAGTTCATTGCTCGCCGACCTTTCGCCGCCTCAGGGAAAGGTTCGAGCAAGAGCACAATTGCATTTTGGTCTGTGGGGAGGATCTGGTAGGCACGGTGGAGATTCCGGGTGGGTGGGGAGCATGTGGTGCCCCGAACGATGGCTTCCACCAGCACTTCCACAGCCTTCGCAGGGCATACATGCGAGCCGCCATCGGACAGGGGGCCTGCTCCAAAACGCGGGGCGGTTGACCAACACCCTGCAGTTTGAGACCATCTCGGAGAGGGTCTTGGTCATCGTCGCTTCTAGGGTTTAGGGTTTAGGGATTGGGCTTGGAACAGCATAACGATAATGGCACGGGGTCACAAGGGCCAGAGAACCCAATACCCCTCAATTAAGCCATGTACCTTAAGTTAGATGGTGCTTTCATATTTATGATTTGAGGTATATTCCCCATTTAAAGTGTATTGGGTTCTCTGGGTATAGAGCATAGGACAGTTCGAGTCATGGAGATTCTTGAAAAGAGCATACAACTAAACCCTAAACCCCAAACCCTAACCTAAACCCCAAACCCTAAACCCCAAAACTCAAAGCTTAAACCCTAAACCCCAAACCTTAAAGCTCAAACCCTAAACGCCAAACCTCAAAGCTTAAACCCTAAACCCCAAACCCCAAAGCTTAAACCCTAAACCCTCTAAGCCCTAAGCCCTGACTAAACCCAAAGGGTCCTAGGTACTGTTATGGGGCACACTTCCCCAAATCCTAATATTACTTCCTAGTATAGAAACCCTACATTCTGCTATCTGGGTCCTAAGCCCTTTTAGACCCCCTTCAAGGAGCCCTTATTGTAACCTGAAAAGGAACCCGTATAGCTCCTTTTCATGGAGCCCAGGAGCTACTTTGGACCCTCTGACTAAACACAAGCCCACCGAGGCTCCGCTTCCTCGCTGTGTCCCTCAGGGCAGTCTGGGTCCAGACCTCGGCGAAGTTGGGACAGGAATCATATGGAGGCCTTAAGAATTAGAATAGGGTTTAGGGTTTAGGGTGTAGGGATAATTCGGAGGCCTTACTAATTAGAATAGGGTTTGGGGGTATATTCCACTATAACTATAATGAGGAACTCCTGTGTCCAGGATTTAGGGTGTCAGGCCGGGAGTTCCGGATTGGGACAGGAATAATCCTGAGGCCTTAAAAACTAGAATAAGGTTTTGGGGTGACCTTCTACTATAATGAGGAACCCCCAAAATAGTACTAAACAATTAGAATAAGGTTTTGGGGTGACCTTCTACTATAATGAGGAACCCCCAAAATAGTACTAAACAATTACAATAAAGGTTTTAAGGTATATTCTGCCATAACGATAATAGGGAACCCCCCCCCAAAAAAAATATAGTATAGCTAACAATTAAGGCCTCTACAGTAGGGTGTAGTGATGTAGTGTGAGGATTTTGAGGCTTCGGGGTATAGTGTAGGGTGTATGGGGCCTCGTAGTGCATGCGCGTAGAGGTTGGGGCTTAGGGCTTGGTGCTTCAGCGATACAGCGTCGTTCGTGCATGGTTTTCGCGAGGCTGGGTTTTGCACGGCCTTTTGCCAGAGCGCCCAATACCCTGCACCTGAGGAAGATCATTTAAATTGTGCTGATATCCTTACATACCTATCCACTGCGACTGGGAGTTACTGCATTTCTGCGGGGTACTGAGTTGCCTTTGGAGTGTTTAGGGTTTAGGGTTAGACTTGAAGTTAGGGGATCTCTAGTTAGAGGAAGTTCTGGGGACATAGATAGTGGCCTCTTGGAAGTGGTTCTCTTAGGGTTTAGGTTTTGGGCCCTTGGAAGTGGTTCTGATGCTTATAAAGGGTTGGTCTTGGGCTTTTCGGGTTTAAGGCTGTGGCGCTTGGGTTTTTTCTTGGAGGCGGCGCCAGCATAGTGAGTAGGTTGGAAGTCCCCCTTATCTGCGCTTATCCTCAAGCATAATTTCGAGCTCGCAATGATCCCAAGCCCTTACATAGAACCCAAGCACATGCTGGACGGCCTTTACAACAGAAATTCCCAACCCCTGGCTTATCTGATTTCGGGGTTGTCCGCAATGAAGAGGCCGCGGTCTCCATGAACCCAGATATGTTGTTTAAGTTCGTAGTGTCGTAGATTTGTATAGGAGGCGCGGCTCGATGCGTGCATCGGACGAGATGCCCTGATTTGTAATGTCGGGATCTAAATAATTCCCAATACTATTTTGGGGTTCCTTTTTACTTATAGTATAATAATGGGCCCCAAAACCCTATTCTGCAGCATTTACAGCACCGATTGCAAAAGTGTACGTCATCTGCAGACTCTGCGCGAGCAAGATCAGCTGAGATTGCCCATCGTGGATCCGACAAACTCCGGCAAACCATGACCCCATGACGACTGCATCCACGAGAGCAGAGCCTGGAGGCTCCGGACGTCCTCCTCCGCCAGGCGTCCAGCCCCAAGCCAGACCAGGCCTTGCCAGTGGCAGACCCAGAGCAGTGGGTCAGGCACCGACAGGAGAGCAGTGGTGAATCCAACGTTTCCCAACAAGCAAGGCGCGTTTGTGTCAAATTCGATCGTGCCGGGTTCCTTCAACTTCGGGGACCTCCATGTGCTTCCGAAGAGGACACATCTCTCAAACCGTACCCGACGGTTCTTGCGCAAAGGATCCATAGAGGGAGGGTGTGGTAACCCCAAACCCTAAACCCTAAAACCGTGTGTTTCAGTATGCGTCCGGGACCCTATGATTGGGTCCTGAAAGGGGTCCAGGGCGCTAACTATAAGGTCCTTGGAAGCATAGGGTTTGGTACACTGAAGGTGTCCTAGGTAGTATCAGGGAGACCCCTTTAAAGGGGACCCTTCTGAACCCTACTTCTGGCTCTTTTAAAAGGGACCTTACTGAGAGGGTCTACATCCCCAACGGTCCCCCTAACCCTAACTCCCATGGAACCCTAAACCCTAAACCCTAAAACCCTAAACCCTAAACCCTAATCCTAACTCCCATAAAACAAGGAACTTAAGGTGTTGCCAGAACTTCTGAGGATGATCCTTAAAGCTGAAGGTTCAGACTTCGAGCCCCCAAAATGGGACTTCCCGAAAATTAGGGGTGCCTTATTTTGGGGTCCTTATTTGGGTTTACATAGGGTTTAGGGCTTTAGGGGTTTGGGGTTTAGGGTTTAGGGCCTTGGGGTCCTTATTCGGGTTTAGGGTTTAGGGCTTTAGGGGTTTAGGGGTTTAGGGCTTAGGGTTTAGGGCCTTATTTTTGGATCCTTATTTGGGTTTAGGCTTTAGGGCTTTAGGGGTTTAGGGGTTCAGGGTTTAGGGCCTTATTTTGGGGTCCTTATAGTAAGGATCCTACTATTTAGGGTACTATTATATTAGGGTCCCCTATTTCGGAAACCCCCAAATCCCGAAACGCCGAATGGCTATGCCCTAAGCCCAGAGAACCCAATACACCTTAATGAAGGAAGTTACCTTAAATCATAACATGAAGCTCCCTATATAATTTAAAGTACATTCCTTAATTTAAGGGGTATTGGGTTCTCTGGGTAACCACAGCCGGATGCTTCAAGGGTTCACCTTAAACTACAATCCTTGTTTTGCTAAAGCCTAGCATGGAGTTTCGAGGGACCCCACCGAAAGAGTGGGCTACGGCGGGTCAAGGTACCTGCAGCCGAACAAAACCAGTTCCTTATGTCGCCGTATGGTTTCTGTATACGATTCCTAATCCCTAAACCCCAAATAAGCACTAAACCCTAAACTCTAAACCTAAAGGGGTTTCCCTAAACTCTAAGATAAACCCTAAACCCTAAACTCTAAACCTACAGGGGTAGGTGTGTGGGGCGGTCGGGTTTAGGGAGCCCCGGGCAGTTGCCCTCAGCAAAGGATCAACCGCTGGTTCTGGCGGTCCTCAAGCAACAGGAGGCGGTTTAGGGTTCAAGGTTTAGGGTCTAGGGTTTAGGGTTCAGGGTTTAGGGTTTAGGGTTCAAGGTTTAGGGTTTAGGGGTTCAGGGTTCAGGGTTCAAGGTTTAGGGTGTAGGGTTTAGGGTTTAGGTTTCACGGTTTAGGGTTCAAGGTTTAGGAATAAGGGTTGAGGCACACTTTCCCCGCTTGAGAAACTGGGGGGGGGGTCCTTGTATACCTGAACCCGATAAAGCATTCATTTTGCAGAACATATATATATATGTATATATACATATATATACATATAGATAGATAGATAGCTTTACATAAGCACACAAAAATCACAAAGAGGATCCTGACAACAGTAACAGTAGGTGATACGGGGCTGACGGCCCAAAAGACCGCTTAAACATACGGATCTCTCAATTCAGGCGTTCTGCAATCCCGTAGAGCCGCCCTTCTACCCCCAGACTAGGATCCTTATGCTTAGGGTTTAGGGTTTAGGGTACCCTGGGACTAGGATCCTTATACTCGTGTGTTTTCCTGTCCCGGCTGCATCAGACACTTCGAGGATCAAGGGTACCCAGAGAGCCCAATACCTCTTAACTTAGGGAATATACAATAAATCATAAATTAGGGCCACTATAATTTAAGGTATATTCCTTAATTGAGGCGTATTGGGTTCTCTGCGTATTTTCTCGGGGTTTAGGATTGTTTAGAGTTCGAGGGCTTTTGCAGAAATTGTTGGGGGACACCTAGACACTGAAACCCAGTGAGGATGTCTTGCGGTCCGAGGATTGAGGGGTGCGGCCCTGTTTTTGGGGCGTAGTAGCTGAATATCTGCACTTTAAACTTTTTGGGACTATATCCGATCCTTTATCGAACTGAAAGCGTACACTTGTTTGCGCTGAGGAACTCAGCAACTAAGGGGGCTTTAGGGTTAAGTGAAGGTACAAGAGGTCTAAAGTTTCGGTAGAGGAACGAGGCCCCGTGTTAGACCCCCTTTTCTCAACTAGGCTTATCTTTGGGATCCTTATGCTGATGGCCTTTAGTGAATCCCGGTCTAGAACTACTTTCATCCCAAATAACTTGGCTCTTTCAGGACTTATTTCAGGAAATCATGGCAACGATCCCGAAAAAGGTAGATTCTTTAGGGTCTAGAAGGATTTACAACCACCTAAATTAAAGAACTATCCATGAAGCTGTCAGTACGCGCTTAACTTACCTTTGATCTTCAAGGGGTTTGGGGGCTCAGAGTTTACGGTTTAGCGTCAAGCCACAATCCTGTTCCATGAACTATCGGAAAACTAACGC